AAAAATTTTTTTTTTTTTTTTTTTTTTTAATTTTGAGACCAAGTCTCAGTACATTGCTAAGTTACCGAGGTTGGGCTTGAACTTGTGATCTTCTTGCTTCAGCCTCCCAGAGTGTTGGGATTACAGGTTTGCACCACTACCCAGCAATAAACAGCATATTCAAGTCAATTTCAGCTACGTACTGATTTTCAACAGGGTGACCTACTTAAATAACTTAGATAAACAGATTTCCAAAAATTACCCTCACATCACACCACACTAAACTCAACCCAACCCAACCCTACCCTGCCCACATCATTATTAAAATATCCAAAGAAAAATGAAAAAGTGAACACAATCTTTATTTAATGGCTTTAAATGTCCAAATGGTATTGTCATATGGGAAAGAAAATATTATTTGCTGACAAATAATTTAGTGTTGTGTCCCCGAGACAAGGCATAAATACTACCTAAGAGAGGCTTCTGCGCTCAAACTGACTTCCTCTGATTCAGGGTTAGCAGGCTCAGGGGAGCAGCACCAAACACACAAGTCCTGATCAACTTCCAGGTGGGCGGAGTTTCCAGGGTGAACCAGTCTCTCCCAGCCAAAGTGGGAGGAGAATGGAAATGAATTAGCCCAGTTAGAGCTGCTGAGAAAGGCTGGCTCCAGTCAGAAATGGAATGTGACATTTTGGATGGGGCATGGAATGTGGTAAAAACCACCCAGGGCTAAACAGGACAGAGATACAGACTTTAAAAAACAAAACAAAACAAAACAAGAACTTCCGTAGAAAAAGACATCAGCAAGAAAAGGTATGAGAACAGGTTGTATAGGAGAGAGGTCAGTTTGTACACATCATGGATAACTGACATTCATTGAACAGGACAGTGAGATTTTGTCAGCGAGGTATATTAGCGCCACATTCTGGGTGGCAGAAGGGGCTTCTGGTCACGTGGGGAGTCACACACCACACCCACATCCCCCCCTGTTTATCCTCTGTTGCGCTGACTTTGAGCCTTCACACAATGCAAAACACAGAACCAAAAGAGAGACGTTTTGACTCGACCATTCACTGAACTTGACCCTAGCTGCCTTGTAGCAAATGAATAATTTTAAGAACAATGTGTGCAGATGCCTTGGAAATAGATTTTTTCAATGGGAGAAGAAAATTCTGGCGCAATCAATCAATACAATACAAATGGAATCACAGCATGGAATCTACCTTGCGCATGAAAACGGGGAACAGGCATCACCTACATTTGAACAGAGCCCTGCAGCTCCCAGGGCACTTTCACACCGTCACTCTATCCTAGGGTCCAGGGAGAGAATTTTTACTCAGTTTTACGAATGTGGAGACCACGGTTTCATAAAGGCCAGCATTATATCAACATCAAGTCACAGGACCAGAGCTCAAACACAGGGCTTTGGGGACACAATCTAGGATTTCTTGTTTTCCCAACTGATCTCCTTCAAATACAAGTAGCAGATGTGTGGTGCCGGCCAGGCCATTCAGTGGATCACAGTGCATTTCAAGCACTTTCAATTACCAAAAGAATGCAAGACACTATCTGTCACCGAGCTAAACTGCTCTCAGGGATTCCGGGAAAGTAAACCACGTGTTCCACTAAGGGGATTGGTCCTGTCACATGTAAACGGAAAGCATCTTTAAGAAAGGAGTTGTTCCAAGCCAAATTTATTTTGAGGGGAACTGGCTGAATTTCCAGGAAGACAGTGAAAAATCCAGCAGGGTGCCTGACTCCTTGACAGAGTCCTCCATTTGGCAAATATCCCATTTTATTTCACAATTATCTTTGCAGCATGGATTTTTTCCCCCTCAAATTACATGACAGCAAAGAACACTGTCTCTCCCTTTTTCTGTAGTACTGGGGGTTGAGCCCAGGGCCTCACACTGAGTTTCACCCCTAGTCCTTTTCATGTTTTTCAAATTTTGAGACAGGGTCTCATCAAGTTGCCCAGGATGGCTCCAGACTTGTGATACTGCCTCTGTTTCCTAAGTACCCGGCATTAAAATGGTTGCAGCTCCCTTTTATTTTATTTTTTTGGTACCTGGGATTGAACTCAGGTCCCCGAGCTTGTGAGGCAGGCGCCGGAACCACGGAGCTAAATCCCCGGCTCTTCCTTTTATTTTAAAGGGAGTAATTTTTATGATACTTTCTGGGTTTCTCTACAAGCAACTTAAAAGACTAAGATGATGATATAATGGTTAGTATTTTCTTCTTATTTTATATAGGAAACTGGTGATGGTGACATTATTTAGCTGGAGTTGGCATAGCCTTTAAGCTTTACTTAAATTTTCACTAAAATACCATTATCTAAATGAAGTATTTTAAAGACAACCCAATGGCAGTATTAAATTGCCAACAATATATGTGCATGTATATATACAACGCAGGTAAGTATATGTGATACACACACATGTGAATACAATACATACATTACTCAGGAAGTAAACAAGCAGACAGATTTGAACCCAATTCTGCATCCAAACCCAACATATGTATACTTTGGATAATATATATCCTTTGCTCAACTTACCGTGTCTTCTGGGTCTCTTTTTGTTTCAGCTTTGTTAGGTGACACCTTAAGAATTGGAGAAAACCAAATATTAAAAAGCATAGCTTTGTGTGGTGATTTTTATTTCACAGACACATAGTTCTCTAGCGGAATGTGGTCTATCAGACCAACCAAGGAGGAAATGAGTACTTTTAATTCAGAAGGACCCAAAGGAATTCTGAGTAATAAAAAGTTAACAAAATTAAAATGTTATAATGAAATGTATCAGATCTTATATGTTCACCACAAGTTTGACCACATTCAAAACTGCCTCCTGGAAGTTCACAGACTTCCGTTCAGTTCTGCATTATTATTATTACTACTCCGAACACATGGCAACCCTCTGGTGTCTGTGGCAGCTTCTTCTGACGCTGTTTTCATTGTATCTTTTGGAGTTAGTCTTGATACTCACATATAGATTGGAAGAGAGGGAGCTGGTGAATTATGCACTCATTCATCCATTTCAGCTCCCTTTTGGGATCTGTCGTGTGTCCATTTATGGGCTCTGCCTTGGGAGGTCAGAGCTGGGCAAGAGACACAAAGACAGTCTCTACCCCACCCGATCAAAGCGGCAGACCGAACAAGATTGAAAGTGATCTCTATGATGTTTTTAGTTGCCTTCCAGTGGCAAAGTTGCCTTGTAAGGTCAACAACTCACAGTTGTATTCTGCAGAAGTCAAGACCAATGACTGTAAGACACTGGACCGCAGTGGGAATTCCATTACAATGTGCCACCATGTTACCTGCTCTGGACACCCAGTGTCCCAGTCATGGCTCCCAACACCGAGTTCTCTCACCGAAAGCCTGATGAACACAATTTCCTACGAGCCACATCTTGTCCCTGTACCTTGAGGATCCAGTGGCACCATGATGGGAACCCAGTGCAGCAGCGTTCAAATAGATACTATTCTTAAAACTGGCACCACATTCAGACAACAGCACTGGGGAGGAGGAGGAGAAGCTACTTACCAGAGTCTTGAAGAAACTCATGACGGAATTGTTCTCTGTGGTACCTGCTGTTGGGGAGTCCTCCCTCGCAGACTCCAGCCCTTCTGGGTCCCCAGGGACAGAACAGTTTGAGGTTTCAATTTCTTGTCCTTCTGTTTCCTTGCTGTCAACTATATCCTAGCAGCGAAACAGAGTTGCAACTTGTTGAGTGTGGACTCTCAAAGTCCTATTTTTGCTTCATACCCCTTTCTTTCTTATCCCCTAATTCCAACCATACTTCTTCTACCCACGGGCCCGAAGAACAATCAGGACCTTATGAGAGTCCCTTTCTCTCTCCTTCTCCCTTCCTGACATGGTTGGAGGGGCCCTGTGTGGAGCCAGAGGGTAATAAACAGAGCACTGCACGTCTTGTTCCGGATAAAAACCCCTTCCTCCCCATTCTGCAAAGAGGGCGTGTAAGATGCCGATACTGTCTAACTTTGGGGTCTGCTTGTTTAATGATTTGTATGTCATCACAAAGGTGGCTGTAATGGATTTTCCACAATCCTCATAGTCATATCAACTAAAAAAAAAAAAGTATTAGTGATTTTCAACAACCATTCTGCTCTGGGGATCTGGAGTTTCAGGGGCTGTGGATGTGATGGGAGGAGGGCAGCTGCATTCTGGATCTGTCCTCTCTCCCATCTTCACCCCCATGGTCCTGGGCCTCTCTCTCCCTCATCACAGCTGTGGCCCCCTGCCCTTTCTACTTGGGCTCTGGAATCCTAAGTGCATTCTTCTCTCAGCAGACCCTATCTTCTACTCCCTACCGCCCCCAGTGGCCGCCCCAGGCCTTACAGTCAGGTCAAACCCTCCACAGGCTCCTGCCCTCTCTCCCAAAGTATAGAGCAAGGCAAATCTCCCACCTCTCCCTGCTGCTCTCTTTTCTCCACTTATTCTGAGCAGCTTCCTCTGAGTTTCCCAAGCATATCACAAGCAACTTCCACCTCCTGGCTCTCTGTCTGGAGCACTGTGCTCCTCTGTGCACCTGCAGGTAATTTCCATCCATCTTTCAAGTTTTGAGGGCCACCTTTTCTGAAAGGAAACCTCTACACATCCGTGTGTAGCTGTCATTTCCTCACTGTCACCTCTGCCACCGTCCTCTCCCTTTTCTGCGTTCACCGTCACAGCCTGTGCTCGTGTGACCCGAGTCAGCCCGCCCTCGTGTCTCTCCACCGAGGCACGGCTTCTGTCTCCTCTGCTCACTGCTGCTTCTCAAATAGCAAGGACAGGAGGGCCGCGGAATGATTTATAAATCCCTATCATCACAGGACTACTTCGCAGAGGAGTGGGACAAATGACAATTGTATGTAAATGAGATGGCGCTCTCTGTATCAACTTACTCTGTCACTTAAAGAAGCACAGAGACGCCACCCCTTGAGGTGAGCTGGTGTCGTGCCGTTCTGTCATCTACTGGGCACGCCGTCCTGCTGTGACAGTATTACGGTCCAGTGTCGTTATGGATGGGCACTCGTAGTATTTACACTGCTGCATCTAGGGTGCTGTGAGCAGTGTTCACACGGGCAAGCCAACGCTGGCTTTTCATCTTTTGTCCGCATCTATATTTTCTTTAGACAAATTACCAAAAGCGCTCTTTCTGGGTCAAGTGGTATGCATATTTTACACCTCAATAAATACTCTTGCTAATAATGGAAGATTTCATTAAGCAGATTTCCTGCAGTTGTCTCATCTGGTGCAGCGGGAGAGGTGGTAGGTGAGACATCAAATATGTCCAGGGTAGGCAGGGCAGCCGGGCCTGTGGTCTGACACCAGGGAACTTGGGCCGCAGGTTGTGGGAGTGAGCGAGGCCAACCCAACCTTCATCTCCTGACCTGACCATCCATCCTTTCTCCACCCCTGGCTCCTCCACCCCTGTGAAGTCTTCCTTCATCCCAAGGCCTTTGGGTCTGACTCCCCATGCCATCTCCCCACCTCCAGTGTTACCAGAACAGAAGGAAGCCATTGTATTGCTTCCCAGTGCCACAGAGGACTTGGCATTTCTGTTTATTTTCACTACTTCCTCCCATATTGGAGAGTTGAATATGCTAGCATTACCTGCAGGCTCCTGACCTCCGCAGACTGTAGTTTCTGGAACCCAGTTTAAACTGATAAGGTAGACTATTCTGACCCCTGAAAAACATTTCCTATAATGACTACTTACTGAACAGTGCAGTCCTCTTTTCTAAGACTAAGTTGAACAAGCTCATCACATCTTACTATATCATTATTTGTTATGAAATAACATATGCCATCAAGCACCCTACAACACGTAAACTGCTGTGCAAATGAGTGCATTAAACATGGGTTGTTTAGAAAATATATGAAAAAATGTTCCACATCACTGGTCATTCGAGAGATGCAGATGAAAACAACACTAAGATTCCACCTCACCCCACAAAGAATGGCTGCTATCAAGAAATCACACAATAACAAATGTTGGCGGGGTTGTGGGGAGAAAGGAACCCTCCTCCATTGTTGGTGGGAGTGCAGACTAGTGCAACCACTATGGAAATCAATATGGAGATACCTCAAAGAGCTTGGACTGGAGGTTCCATTTGACCCAGCCATCCCTCTGTTGGGTATCTTTCCAAGAGAACTGAAAGAATCATATCACAGAGAAGTATGTGCACCCATGTTTATAGCGGCACAGTTTGTAATAGCTAAATCTTGGAAACAACCTATTTGCCCATCCGTTGGAAACTGGATAAAGAAGTTGTGGTTTTTCTATAAAATGGAATATTACTCAGCCATAAAGAGCGAGAGAATAGATTCATTCATAGGAAAATGGATACATATTGAAGATATACTCCTAAGTGAAATAAATAAGTCCCACATGTGTAAATACCAAATAGTTTCCCTGGTGTGAATATTCTGCAACAATGCATAAGATTCTAATAAGATTACTGACATTTAGAAATGGGAGGAAAGGAGCTAAAGGTGTAGGGAAGGTGTGATACGTAGGGGAAGAACAAAAAGGGAAAAGAAAAAAATGTGAGAGAATGAAAAGATGAAAATAAAGTGTTTGTAGATGGGGAGGGGAGGAGGGGGTGAAGGGAGGGCAGAGGTAAGGGGAAAAAAATGAGAATCAAGACTTGCCATGTAAAGGTACATGATCCCAACAATGAATGTAACTGTACTGTATCCCTAAATGTACCAATAAGCTCAATTAAAAAAAAAATAAATTAAAAAAAAAAACAAAAAAAAAACATGGGTTGTTTAATCTTTACAACAATTTCATGGGGTAAATGTTATTTATCACTGCTAGTTTTCAGACAACTAATGAGCTGGACAGGGACCAGCGTGGGTTTCTGTCCCCACCTGCCAGCCCTGAACATCTTCAATGTTCCAGACCATCTGACCACCAGTATCAACTCAACTCCACTTAGTAATGCAGCAGTGAATTAAGTGCAGGTGTTGGAAACACACATCTTTCTGAAGAGTATGTGTAAATATATGCTGAATTCACAGATTCCTTGTAGAGCTATTCTGGAGAAGCACTGGATTCAGAGTTCTTCTGAACCATGTCACCCTTATTTCGTGAACGATGCTTGTTCAGGCTCCTGCCTTTGTACTGGAGGATCTGCCTGCCAGAAACACGTTACCTTATGACCTTCGAGCCACTTAGGCCATCACGTTGCCCGAGGTCTTTCTTTACCACTCTAAACTGCTGTAACTCGATCCTGGAACATCCTTTCGCTGCTGACTGCCACGTTTCTATTTTCTCGGCGTGTTTCTCTATTCACGTATCACCAGTCGCCCTTCCTTGGGCGGTGTGGCAGTGTCTGGAGATGGCTTTGGTTGTCACCACTGGAGGGCGCAACTGGCATCTGGTGGCAGAGATCAAGGATGCGGCTCAACACCCATAATGCACAGGGTCAGGAAAACTCCTGAGGAAATATCAAGAGTGGTGAGCCTGCTAAACCTGTAAAAATCTCAGTCATTTTGGCTTTGTGCCTCTCTATAAAGAGAGGAAGACAGGAATTTTTGTTCTTTTCTTCTTTGCATTTCTTTTGCACGTGGACTTGTGTAAATAGGAGATGGATGAACGAATGAGAAACACTTTGATCCGAGTGAGACCACAATTATCAATTTTTATTATCATGACTTCAAATCTTCCCGTATGGACAGTTTCTATTGCTGTGCATTTCAATTCTCTATTCTTTTTTCCTGCATCATTGAAGATGCTGACAATCTCATTAATGTACATTTACGTCACACATTATAGTTTTCAATCTTTCGAAGTTTAATTTGGATTTTTAAAATATACCTTCTATACTCCTACTCAACTTTTTATTTTAATTTTATTTATTTATTTTTTGGTACCAGGGATCAAACTCAGGTCCTTGTGCTTGTGAGGCAGGCGCCGGAACCATTGAGCTAAATCCCTGGCCCCGCTACTCAACTTTTTATACATGTGGAATAATCTATACTAGTGAAAAAAATGTCTTTTTCTATTGATTCTAACATTGGAGCCAGTCTGGGTTGGTTTCAATAGATTTTTAATCAAACATGAGTTACATTTTCTTGCTGCTCTTCTCTCTGCCAATTACTGGCTAAATGCCAGATACTGTGAATTTTACCTGTTTGGGTAAAATTTCAGTAAGAATTCTTTTTGTTCATTTGTTTTGTTTTTGAGACAGGGTCTTGTTATGTAGTTCAGGCTGGCTTCAAACTATATGGCCCAGTTGGTCTAGAACTCACAATGATCATCCTGTCTCGGCCTCCCAAGTGCTAGGATTACAGTCGTGTGCCACCATGCTCAGCCTCAGCAAAATTTGTGAGCTTTGTTCTGGATGTAGTTTAAGATACTCGGAAATGGTCTGCTGTTTTTCAGTTCTTGCTTTTAGGATGTGTTCATCTTAAAATGTTAGAAGCTGCATTGAATCCAGAGTGAATTTTTTTCCCCACTGTGAGGAAAGACCCTTCCGAGTCCTGCACCTGATGCCTTGTGAATACTGAGACTTTCTGGCCCTGCTGGTGGGCAAGACACATCATGTCACCCTGCACAAATGCAGAGCTTTGCTTCCCACACTGTGCTAGGGGCTGTGCAGAATGCGCTGGTCTCCACTCTGTCCCATGTTTGATGTGCACCCCTGAGCCCCTGCAGGTTTCTCTCTCTGCATCTCTTGCTCTTCAAA